AGTTCTCTCTCCTGATTGGATGAACAGAAGAGCAGATATTCTGTTTACTCCAGAAAGGATGGACTGACTGAACTCTGACCGACAGATTGTACAGCTATTTAACTTATTTTAAAACACTAACAGTTCCCAACCTGTGGGTCGAGCCCCTACCAGGGGTCCACAGGGGGTTGAAGGTCTTGTGAAACACTGCTTCCACAGTCATGTAGTAGATAACGATATAACCCTTTAGCTCGTAGATTTGTACAGGTGGTGTTGCTGCTCAATAAATGATGTGCAGGATATTCAGGGTTTGGATAACGAGCTTTATTTCATTACAAACCTTGTTTACATTAAAAGTCAGGGAACAACAAACCTCAGAGTAACAGCTACCAACGCTTCAGTACAAATCCCCAAAGTAATAGTTGTAATAAATATTAAGAACAATAGCAGACGGCAGTTACAGTTAGTATATAGAGAATAAAAGGTTAGTGTATATAGAGAATAAATGTTAGTGTGTGTATAGAGAATAAAAGAACCAAATATTTGACTTTGTGTGAACCACAGTTACAGTGTCTTTGTTTAACGGGGAAGTTTTAAGGAAATTCTTTTAAGTGACTGCTGCCAACGAACAGCAGGATTGATTCCCTGCTCTTCAGTCCTCCAGCAGGGGGCAGAAACCACCAGTCTGTCTCTGACACTCAGTTAAAGTGCAATCTATCAGATCAACGACACCTCGCACCGAGCTCAACCCACAACCCTGCTGGCAGCTTTCAGAAACTACCTGAAGAACCGCTCTGTTACTTTAACGTGGAGGAGTTTGTGTCCGTCTCTGAGCTGACGAGAGAGAGAGAGAGAGACAGAGAGAGAGAGAGAGGCAGGTTTACAGCTGAACAACAGCAGTTACTCACGAGACTGAAACCACTGTACAGTTAGCATGCCAAAACTGCACAACGAGCATGCTGCTGAGGAACGGAGAGCGCTGACGGCTCAAACTAAACCGCGTACAGAAAGAGAAAAGAGACGCACAAGGTCACTTTCAGGATCCCCTTTAAAGGAGGTCAGAGGAGGAAGCAAATATTCACCTTAAAATCATCATTTATTTAAATCAACGACCCTGCAGACTCTGGAATACCCGACAAAAACTCACTCCTTCTCCCACAGGATCAACCTCAGTCCTGTTCAAACACGAGCAGATATCCACTGTAATATAGTGACTAATATTCAAAAAGGAAAACACTGAAATGAGATCAAATCTTAAGAAACTCATAAACGTGTTCAGTCCCAGTTTGTGGCTCATGTATTAACATTACAGTCAGTTACAGAGCTACACACGGGATGACACGGACATTTCTTCTCACAATTATCTAGAGCCAAATAACGGAAATTCACTATTTTATCCCAATAATCAAAATGTACTTCATACTGTTAAAACGGCTCTGAAACACACTGGAGTTCCCCCATCAGTGTTTGTGTGGAGCCTTCAGCCACAGTGACAGTTATTAAATAAATGTCTCATGTGAGGATATTCACCATTATCCCGACAACGACAGAACTAAGCTTTACTCTCTGACAAATATAAGTTATCAGCATCATTTCTGAACGTATTCAGGACTCCTAAAGTCTGGATGTTGCTGCAGCAGCCACTGTCTGTCTGACACATCTCAGTGATCTCTGCAACACTAAATCTAAACGGCTATTCGTATATAAATTGTGAGTAACATCAAGACAAATATAGTAATAAGTATAAGTAATAACACGGTTTTAACTGTGGTCCACGTTCTACACACTGACGAGGAGATGCGTCATTTCCAGCTTCTGTCTTAGTTTGGAATAGTGAAGTGCAGCGGATGAGATATTTCTTTAATCACATACTCACACTGCCTTCTGGGCTTTTATTTTTCACAATAAACACGCGCTTACATGCTCCAGTGTTCATACATCATGGCTGATGTGTAAAGTGCTTACATGTTATCTGTATTTCTTTTATGATATTCTGATATTGTTTTGCTGTTGTTCATCGGTTCTTCCTTCAAATTCTCTTGTGTACTAACAGATCTTTTGTCAGGCACTCCAGGGTGGTTTCCCAGCTATTTCTGGGCCACGTGCACCTACATTATTATTGAAATATTCCCTTAAAGTTACAGTAATCTTATGGGTAGGAAAAGAGTTCATAATTTCAGAAACGAGCTTCATAGCGACCGACAGCACCACCGTCAACTACAGCCAGAACAAAAGAATAATGATTATAATAAGAGCGTAATAATGAAAAGAAGAGGACCAAACTAACGGAAGAGAAATGATGACCTGGTCTGTGTATAAAGAAGTACAGTTACATCTACAGTCACCACGGCAACCGCGTGGCGAACCAACATCTGCATCCTAAAGAGTACAGGATAGTGGAGCCAACAGCACGCCGTCTGCGGCAGCGGTGAAATCTGCAGTAAGGGTTCCTGATGACTCTATACGGTGTTTATCAGTTCTGAGGGAAGAACGTTTACAACTACAACGTAGAACTGTTTATCTGCGTCTGAGGAGGAGAGGAGCAGGAGGAGAGGAGGAAAGAGAGAGCAGAGAGCAGGGACAGTCCTACGCAGTCATCTGGATGGTTTGTGCCGCAGTGTGCTCGGGGCTGGTGGAGTTAGCGCCCTCTGGCAGTGTGTTGGTGGCACTGCGGCTCCGGACGCCGTCTGTGGAGCCGACGCTGGAGGCCGAGTGAGTCCTGGAGCGAACCAGCCGGGTCATACCAGCTGTGGGCACTGGGGGGGGGCAGAGACAGAGTGTGAGCGGAGCTGGTTCAGGTGTGTGTCCTGGTTCATTCACAGATCTCACTGTCCAACCAGCACGAGCTGATTTGAATCGTCCACACTGAGCGAGCAGCTGGATTCAAATCTGATGACGGTGAGTCTGAGGCTCCGTTCACACTGAAGCGCCAAACAGTTTCTGTTCAGTGTCGACAGAAAAAAAGCTGCACTGAGTCACACTTTTTAAAGTTCAGGAGAGAAACAACAGAAAGCTGCAAATTGTGAATCTGAGGCATCAAATCTGAGTTAGAACATTTTTAGGCCTCAACAACCCGTAACTGAACATTCAGTCGCTGCCATCGGTTCTGCCTGCAGCTTAATTAAAGGTGGAAATATAAAGTAACTATGGAGTAATGCAGTACTTATTGATTACATGTCCACTAAACTGGACATCGTGTTACTGCAACTTACTGAAAAAGCTTCATGTGCTCGACTGATTCATGTTATCAGAACGTAGCAGCGTATTTCTCTTTATATAAATACATATAACAGTGTGAGGTCCTCCAGGTCAGCGGCCCCTACGGTCCCGTAGTGGGACAGGCCAACAGGTCTGTTGTGGATCCTACAGCTGATCACATGGAGCCGGCTGTCTGCAGTGTGAACGGAGCAACTGTCACTGCAGAGGGGAGAAATCAGTGAGATCAACAGCATGCACACAGACGGGGGGACAGACAGACAG